GAGTCAACAGTGTGATGGGGCAGCTAAAAAGGCCAATACAATTTTAGGATGCATTAATAGAAGTATAGTATGTAGATCAAGGGAAGGGATAGTGCCACTGTATTCTGCTTTGGTCAGGCCTCACCTGGAATAATCCTGTGTCCAGTTCTGGGCACCAGAATTCAAAAAGGATGTTGAAAAACTGGAGAGAGTCCAGAGAAGAGCAACTAAAATGGTGAAGGGTCTGGAAACCATGAAGCCCTATGAGGAACGACTGTTTAGCCTGGAGAAGAGACGGTTAAGAGGGGATATGATAGCCTTGTTTAAATATTTGAAGGGATGTCATATTGTGGAGGGCGCTAGCTTGTTTTCTGCTGCTCCAGACAATAAGACCCAGAACAATGGATACAAACTGCAGGAAAAGCGATTCCACCTCAACATTAGGAGGAACTTCCTGACAGTGAGAACATTTGGACAGTGGAAGACACTCCCTTGGAATCTCCTTCTTTGAAGGTCTTTAAACAGAGGCTGGATGGCCATCTGTCGGGGATGGTTTGATTTTAAGTTCTTGCATGGCAGAAGGTTGGACTGGATGCCCTTTGTGGTCTCTTCCAACTCTATGATTCTACGTTTTCTGCCTGTCAAAGTAGCAACTCTAATGTAGCCCAGGTGGCTTTCAGACTGGGAGTTCAACAAGTGTGATAGCCAAACAGGGCTTTTATTAGTGTGTAGCATATGGAGCAAGAAATCCTGGGGGTGCAAGCAGGGTTCAGGAAAGGAAGAGGCATGAGGGTCTGCACTGCAAACGTACGATGGCTAATGGAGTGCAGCAGCAAGTTCCAAAAGAAAATCAGCATGTGCTTTATAGACTATAGGAAAGCATTTTACTGCATACATCGTAAAAGGCTATGGAATGCCTTTAAAGGCATGGGAGTGCCAATATATCTGATAGTCCCTAATGAGGAATCTGTACTCAGGACAAGAGGCTACTGTCTGAACAGAACATGGAGAAACAGAATGGTTCCCAATTGGCAAAGGGGTCAGACAAGGCTGCATCCTATCACCCTACCTATTCAACCTATATGCAGAACATATTGTAAGGAAAGCAGGCTGGCACACAGAAGAAGGAGGAAGGAAAATAGGAGGAAGGAATATAAACAAGCTAAGATATGCAGATGACACTAGTGTCTTCCACTGTCGAACAGCTCTTACTGTCAGTAAGTTCTTCCTAATGTTGAGGTTGAATCTCTTTTCCTGGAGCTTCCATCCACTGTTCCAGGTCTTATTTTCTGGAACAGCGGAAAGCAAGCTTGCTCCATCCTCAATATGACATCCCCTCAAATATTTAAACAGAACTATCATATCACCTCTTAACCTTCCCTTCTCCAGGATAAACATACACAGCTCCCTAGGTTGTTCCTTGTAGGGCATGGTTTGCAGACCCTTCTATTCTTCTATTGTACCACCATAGCTACATGTTCAACCAAACACTGATAGAAATGGGGACTGCAGTCAGGAAATCATAAGAAGATTAAAAATGGGGAGAGTGGCTATGAAAGAACTAGAAAAGATCCTAAAATGCAAAGACATACAACTCAGCACAAAAGTTAGAATCATAGAAGCCATTGTTTTCCCTATTGCCATGGATGGATGTGAGAGCTGGACAGTTAACAAAAATGATAGGAAGAAAAACAATGCATTTGAGATAATGTGTTTCAGGAGAAGAGTGCTGAGGATACCATGGAAAGCCAAAAGGACAAACAAATGGGTCCTGGAGCAGATCAAGCCAAAAAATCTCCCTGGAAGAAGAAGCCAAGATGACCAAACTGAGACTGTCGTACTTTGGACACATCATGAGAAGAGGACTTTTTAGAAAAGACAACAGGCCTTTGCAGACTGCCAGAAATAGTGCAAATTGAGTCCACTTTAAGGGTTAGGGAATCATGGGAACTGTATTTTATTGTGGCACTAGAGCTCTTTGACAGAGAAGGCTCAATGTCTCAGAAAAAACAATTCCCATGATTCCTTAGCACTAACCCTAACCCTTAAAGTGGACTCAATTTGCACTATTTCTGGCAGACTGCAAAGGCCCAATAATGCTGGGGAAGGTGGAGGGAAGGAGGAAGAGAGGAAGGCCCCATGCCAGATGGATGGACTCTATGAAGGAGGTCACTTTGGGTATTAAGGGAGGTCACGAGAAGGAATGAATCATTGGGGAAAAGATGGAGGGAAGGAGAAAGAGGAAGGCTACATGCCAGATGGATGGAGAGAGCAGAGGCCTGCAGGACATGAACACAGAGGCTGAGGGAGGCTATGGAATGCCCTCTGAACATGGCAGCCACAGATGCAGGTGAAACATCAGGAATACATTTTTCTAGAACACAGACTCACAGCCCCAAAAAACGACAAAAACCTATGGATGCCGGCTGTGAAAGGCTTCGACTTCAGACTGAG